AAACCACGCCCACCCCCACAAAATTGTTTGCACAAGATGAAAGCGTGTGCACATAGGGTAAAAAATATCACCTCTCGGGACTTAAGGGGCTCCAGATGTTTTTCCTCATGCCATCGTGAGGTGGACATTTTTAGGTTTTTGGTGAAATGTCTCAACTTTTGGACGGACTGCTGTGAAATTTGTTATGTTAGCATATTATGTAACATTTAGCTCAAAGCATCGCCAGCTAGCATGGCTGTAGATTCTTAGCCTTGTTTTATTTCATCTCTGATTCTCACATTCACAGTCTTTACTTTTTCCTTCAGCTTTTAGAATACTCTGTTTGCGGTTCAGACTCTGGCTGTGTCGTATGTATTTTGTCTCTCAGCCTGTAGTGTTTTGTTTGTCCAACTTTCTTGAGCCCCCTGTTTCTGAGTCTGAATCATCTCTCTGAGCTCCTGTATTATATTTTGTCAAATCCTTCTCCACCTGCTGGCCTCTCTCTCTCTCTGCAGGTTTATAAATTACGCAGAAGACTCATGTTTGAGGGAGTAAACAACTCGAGGGCTGCCATGGGATCAATGCTCAACAGAAACAACACTTGATTGTTACTAATGCAATGGCTGCAAAATGTCAGCCAAAAATCTGAAATATGTGCAATATTTCAAAGTTTCTGGTGCTGGCAAAAATATATAAATCACTTTTAATGTGTTCAGTCTCTTCAGGGAGTTAGCAGGGGAACAGAAAGCAACAGTGTTTATGGCTCCTAATTTTAAGAAAGTCATGAGAAAGATGCTCCTTGTTACTTCCATCTTGCTCTTTCACCTAGAAGTTGTAATTAACTTAGCAGTAACGTAACAATGTTATAGTATACCTTTAAAATATTTATAAAGTAACAAAAACTACTGGTGCACGACGGCCTTCCAACCCTTGTGCATGAGGAAAAATGACAACAGTAAAGAAAGAAAGCAGCAGCCATGGATGGAAAAACAATAAGATGGATGTCGCTGTTTTTCTCTCTCTCTCTCTCTCTTTTACTCTTTCTACTGCTCTCTCTTTCCCCAGGGTCCACAGCTGAGAAGTGATACATGGCTCAGTAATAGTCTGAGCCCTGGGGAGAGCGGCTCTGTGGCCTTGGTAAGAGACTATCAACACGCACACACCTTCACACCCAGTCACGCACAGCCAGTCACGAGAGCACACGCATACACACAGGAGAACACACAGGTTTGACTAATATCAACTTCTGAAGACTGATATTTTCTCCCAGTATGTCCTCATTTTTTCCCCTTTTTTTCAATTTTCTTTCCAGAAATTGAGACATGTCCAGTAGTTGTTATAAATATACTTCTTGTCTGGTTTCGAAAAGCCTCTGAAACAGCATTTAGACCATCATGGGACAGTGAAACTTTAAGATTATAGAGGCTAAGACTAGCTCAATTCTTACAGGATCATCAGATCTTTAAGGCAGGTCGATCCTGCCTGAAAGAACATTTTTAAGTCAGTTGCTTTCCATTCATTCAGAAAGAAACTGTAATATGTGATACATTACTAATTTTAAGTGAAGAGTGTAATCAGTAAGGAAACAGTGACACATTTGCTGTGTTGTGTTGAATTTCCCTCCCCACGATACAACTTAAAGTACTGCTAAAATCTAGTCGTATCTACTCTATCTACTCTCAATCTATCTAACTATCTATCTAATCTATGCTATCTATCTATCATCTAGGGTCCTATCTATCTGTCTATCCTACTCTTCTATCTATTCTCTGTCTCCTATGGCGTGCAACGCAGCACATTGGATTTCATAGTAAAAAATGTAAAGTGCCGACTTTCAGCTTTGATTTGATGGTTTTCCCATTTACAGGTGAATTTTACTAAACACTTCATGGATTTTCCCTGACTCTCCTGTGCCAAAAGTAATCCGACATCCTATCCACTATCTGTACCTGCAGGAGGGCCTTAGCCATTTCCCAGCTCACACTGGGTCAGACACTGTGTGCACCCTGGACAGGTTGCCAAGCTTTCACAGGGCTGACACATGCAGACACACAACCACTGACAAACTGGCCAATTTACTCCAAACCTTGCTGTGAGGCAGCAGAGCTAACCAATTACCATAAACTCTCTTGAGCAAATTAACATAAAATCAATTATATATCAATCTTATATATAAAAAAAATCTTCATATATAGTAATTCTTCAGTTGGAGATGCGTTATGCTAATAGCAGCCAATGTAGTGTCATACCACTAGACTTAAGCAGTGATGAGGAGTGGGCTACAGAGTCTGGTAAGATCACTTTTGTCAAACTCCACACCCTGACAGCACTCAATGACTTCACATAAGGACATTAGCACAGCTCCCTAATGACAGTAAGTCTTTATACAGCTCTTTTCACATATGCTTAGTACTCCACAAGACCTGGAAACAGACTGATGTGTGAAATTGGTGACGTTCCCCTTTAATTCAGCTAAATTCCAATGTGCTGGAGTACAGAGACAAAAAAACAAAAAATGTGTGAATACACATCTCTATCTGACTGTACTGTAAACATAAAACAACACAGACAAACCCAAATGCTTCAGCCTATACCTGCACACACACACATGCACACACACACACTGTGAAACGAAGGAAAAAACACTCTCCGCACATTGTGAATCGTTTTTCTTTTTTTAAAGTTTAGGTCTGGGCGACCTTTCTCGAGGCTGAGGCCTGGCCGTCTAACAGCAGGACGCAGTTCTGGGTGAGTAACAGCGCTTCTTTTTCTCACCTCTGAAAGATTTGAGGAGATAAGAAATGACACTCTCACACACCGGCCATTTCTGTCTGGAGACTGTTCAAATGTAAGAGGAGAGCTGAGGACACCAGCGCCTGTGTCTTTTGTATTCAGTCACGGTGGCTTTCAGCAAAATGGGAAAATAGATTGAAGTGTGCAGAAATAGTGGAGGCATTAAAAAAAAAGATAATAGCATTTTACCTGATCCCCATCTTTCCGTACCGGTACAGCATCCGCTGCTGGAGAGGCAAAGAGAGAAAGAAACGGAGAGATATGAATTTAAGATAATTTCATTATCACAAGTGCTTCAGTAGCTGCAGATATCAGGCCATGTGCAGGAAACACAGATGCAAGAAAACACAAAACATCAGTCCGGAATACACAATTGCTTTGTCAACCCTCCATGATAGGAGAGGGGGCGAGCGAGGGATGGAGAAACAGGAAGATAGAGGAGTGAGCAAGGAACACTGACAGAGAGAGGGAGAAAGGAGATAACAGTATGTCAGACTCATGCAGCCTTCAGCGTGCTCACTGAGGGAAAATGACAACGCTGTCCAGTATTTCTCTCTCTCACACACTTACACACAAACACACCGTGCTAAAATTAGATCAATTATCCACGCCAAGCTTTGGCACACAGAGGGCACAACCAGTGTGAGTCATGAAGGCCAGAGATGGTTCTGAAGTATTTGAGGGTGATGAAAGGGGAAGCCATTCTGCTAGTTATTATCATAAATAATGGAGTGCTGCTTTAATAATTTAGCAGTAATAAAATAGAAAACAGTGGCTGTCCACCAGAAAAGCCAGAACCTGGAGATTCTGATGACTTAACCCTGTCGTTGCATTACATGATGACCTTGAGTCTGACCTTAACAGCAAATGAGATCATCCAGTGCAACCTGTGAAAGCACACGTGAAAAGCATTAACGTATCCCCGGTGTATCATTGTGTTCAGTGTCCATGATAACACAGTTCAGTGACTGTAATTAATGCTTTGATTTCACTTCATTTTTTTCGTATTTGTGTCAGCATCGGTTGACGCATCCATCTCGTCAACGTCATTTCCAGTCGACACAGATGCTGTTTAGCCAGGAGAAATTGACTAAATATGACTATTGAGAGATTTACTTCTCTGTAAGTCGACTTTGATTAACTCTACCAACTTTTTATGTTGCCAATTTTCTGGCTCTTGCACAGGGAGATGACCCTGTAGGTAGTCTACCCTACAAAGCTCTGATTGGCTTGATTGATTCTCTTAATGAGCACAGGATCACACAGATCTACAGTATTTGACTCGCTGAGATGTGGACATCAATTCAGGGGTTTGTGTGTGAACTTAAACTTGTTCAGTCGTAGTAGTTCAACATTCAAAGTAAGAAAAGGTTGTCCTTGT